GGGGGGGGGGGGGGGGGGGTTTTCGCAGTGATCGCTCGTGCCTTCCTTGGCCGCCAGAATCGACTCGGCGGCGAAGATCAGAGCCACGGCACCTCGCGGCGAAAAGCTCGGACCGAGAAGCCTCCGCCGAGCGCCAGCCGGCGCGCAGCCGCAGCGCCGAGCTCGGAGCCGAAAGGCGGCACCCAGAGCGTCTTCTTCGTGACCTGAAATCGGCAAAAAGCTCTCGCCTTTCACGGCCACGTTGACACATCGCGATACTTCGCGTCATCGCGACGCTACCCCCCTTTTTCCTCCGAAGCGCGCAGCGGCCGCTCAAGCCTGCAGCGCGCATGGGACCGCGCAACATGCCCTGGACTCTCGTTGTGCGCTGTGGCATCTGTCCGCCTCGCGAAGAGTCTTGTCCAGTGCTTGGGCCTTGAACAGAGCTTGGAGCTTTCCGACTCAAAGCTATGAGTATCTTGGAGCCCACCTCGGGCAGTTCTAGACGCAACAGAGCCACACCTCCGAAAGCTCAGCTCACAGAAAAGCCAAAGGCCAGCGCGGCATCCGGCCTTGGAGGACGGCCCGCGCCGAGGTCTCGGCTTCTGCTCGCAGCTCTTCCTCTTGGCCTGAGCAGAGCTACCTAGGGACCCAGTACTTCTCTTAGAGCCTAGGGGGTGCAGATGGGTGCAGGACTTGCTGCGAGGCCTTCAAGCCCACGCGCAGCAGCATTCAACAGGCAGCGAAAGAGCTCGAGGTCTCGAAAGTCTGGCGAAAGCAGTTTTGCAGCCGCCTATCTTCATTTGTATCTTCACTTTTGTCTTCACTTTTCTTCACCTTGATCCGCCATGGCCGTCGCAGCACGGCCCAGCAAACCCGGGCGCAGGCTCCTGGCCAAACTCACCGCATGTGACGCAAACAGAAAGTTAAACGGCACACATAGGCTCAATCTATGCGACATGCAGGCGCCGCCAGCCGTGACGCAAGCGGGCTTGGAGCTTCTGGGAGACACGGCGGCAGAGGGCGGCATCTCGCACCCCTGATGCGGCCAGTCCCTGGAGCGCCAAGTGTAGCTTCTGGCGTCTTGTGGCGCCTTGACCTGGCTGACCTGGCCTTCAGGAGGACCACAGCCGATTCCAAAGGTATCTCCTTTCCAGACAGGCCCCAACAGGCCATGGCCTCTTGCCCTGTCTCTGCTCAGGCCGGGTCCCACATGCAGTCAGCTGCACACCTCACCAGGGCGGGGCGCTGACACCAAGACTCCCCCAACGCGTCTGCGGCGTCGGCGGTGCTTTTAGCGTCGGCCGAGGGCCTGGCCTTGCAAAGAACCTCATGATCTCGGCCAGCTCCTACTGGTACGCAGCAGTCAGAGCGCTTCGTAATCGGTTCCAGCCCTCTGCCCTTTCGAGATCCGCAAAAGAGGAGGGCGCTGGAGATCAGGGTTGGGGCGGGGTCTCGTTTCAACTGCTAATTAAGTGCATCGATGAGTACAGGCTAGATGTGTGACATGAAAGATCGCAGCCCGCGCTCTGGGCTCAAAGACAAAAAAAGGCTGACGCAGATGATGAAAGGATGGAAGTTTGAGGAGGCCAGGCTACACCACTGTCGCATGGAGTAGTCTTTTTGCGTCCCACTATCGCTTTGTTCTCATGGGTATTGATACTGAGGGTTCAGGCGTGAATCTTAGTTGAGGTAATCTGGAAGATCTGATGCAAGTTTGATGCCACATGTTTTGACCAACATCTTTGACAATATCCTTCGGTAACCTATTCGGCGACACATTCGTGAAATTGGGCAAGAAATACGGTGACATTTCCAACGATCTCGCTGAACTATTCCTTAGAGCTTTCGGCAACGCATTCGATAACGTTTTCGATCAAATCTTCGATGATCTGGTAATTGTCATCCATGGAAATAGAACTCAGCAGTGTTAGGTGACTGCCCACCAGGCCTCCGGGACCTTAGTTTTCATCGTTTCAATGCGCTGCGACTGACGGAGACTTCGAAATGTGCTTGAAGATGTAAGGATGCATATTCCTCTACACAGGCATAGAACAGCCTAATTGGTCTTGATTTGCCCACTCTATGCGCATGCTCACTTCTGGGGAACGTTCTTTCCCGCTGAAAGAGCATCTTGCCCATTGGCTCTCTGAGAATAGGCCAGTTTACGCTTTTGTATCTGCTTCTACCTTACACTGGTAATTAACGTATTTGTATGTTGTGCATGCCACAAGTGTCCACAATTCTCTGGTTCCTCCAGCTTCTGTCGACATGCGTGGGTGGAATGTTTAGCAGATGCCGAAACGTCTTAAGTTGAAATGCATCTGTTTGGCCGTGCTCATGCCGCGCTAGCTGGATAGGTTCCAAAACAGTATCTCAACCTGTCAAAAACAGCAACGGACTCCATCACTCGTAGCTTCCTTTTAGTTGTTGTGCGAGCTTTTGGCCAGAACAAGCCTGTTTGCTTGGCGACTGTTGTGGCTTCCCTGACTCTGCGGAAACTTCCTGATTGTTCTCTAAGCTGCTCCCAGATATGTTGCTTGGGCTTTCCTCGGAACGACCGTGCCATTGTTTATGGGTAAAGTCGATACATTTAGCGAAACATAGCGTGTCTGGCTGATTCTACCAGTGTTTGTGGCGACAATCGTCGTGCGGGTGTGTGCGGCGAACAATCAATCAAGTGTCGTCGGCAGAAAAACACCCTCTTCATAGCTCATGCCTGGTATAGGCCCACGGAAAAACTGTAGATGCTTCGGCGTGCTTCACACAGCCTTGGGCCTTGATCTTCTGGACGACTGCTGTCATCATAACTGTACATCCCTGTCGTTTCCTGAGTTTTGCGTCAGTTTCAGCTGGCGTTGCCTTTCACAACTCAAAAATTGGAGTTTCAGATATGTGGTAGACGTAGTCGTTATAGTACTTTATTGAATTTGTCCTGGTCTGCTTTATCGAAAGCTTCTTTTCCCAATCTAATGATACGAGTGTGAGATTGGTTTCTTGCCTTTCTGCCATATCCACAAGTCATCTTGCGATATACAAGGCTTGCGATGTTGCCTTCTTTCCTTTCGGAAGCCATATTGAGTTTTTGAAATCCACAGCTCCAGTACAGGTGTTAAACGGTTCTTGCCAACATGTTATGAAACGTGCGCCAAAGCGCTGTTGGACGATAGGTTGTCAACTTCTCCGGATCTCTTTTTATGAATGCCAGCGAGGCTGGACAGGTTCAGAGATTCAGGGTAGTGGCCATGAAAC